GCTGTCAACGTCTCCAACTGGTCACAAAAAGATGCACCAGAACAGATCAGATCTTCTTCTGATTCATTAAATGTATCAAAACGAAGAACTCCCATCGTTTTTCTGTCAAAGACGGCAACCAACACTATGTGCTGTGATGCACTTTTATAAATAATTAAAATGCTTTGATGCATAAAAGGATCATTTTTAAAATGCTTCATTTTATGTAAAAAAAAAGAAGGCAACCTCTTAAATTATCTGCAGCACATGTTTCGACATATCTTCTAATAACAATGCTCCCTAAATTCAGCTACAGTAGCTTGATTTTAAAAAGAGAATCCTGTATGGCTAACTCTTTCCATTTGTTTCACACTCCTACCTTTAATGTACCTTCTTAAATCCCTACATCCAGGGGTGAAAGTGAGCCAGTACGGTCCGGTACTGCGTACCACTAAAGGATTCTGCGCCGGTAGGCAGTACACGGAAGAGGGAAGAACGGCTGTCTGCCATGAAGCCGTCATCCAGCACCAGTTACGGCCACAACAACTCACGAGCAAACAAAGATCAGATCCGCTACCAATAGGCAGTCTAAAACAGTCAATACTCTTGCTTTGCTCGGAGCTCGAGGCTTTTGTGAACGGCCAGCGTTTAAAACGAGCAGCGCTACGTTTAATGTCTGTCTGCTCGCTGCTAAATAGCCCAGTTAAAAGCACAGGGAGAGAAACTAGTTGTGTTTCATGTTATTTTGCTGAATTACAACACAGTACAGCTCGAAAACACCGTTTGTGACCAGAGATTTCACATAAACTACACGAGAGCGCATGCGCGATTACCTCCTAACAGAGCGGTTGCCAAGGAGATTGGTGTGTTCGATTCAATGGACGGGGAGATTTTACACAGGTGGCGCACAGACATAAAAAAACCGCTGCTTGCATTAAGACAGGACGAACAACAAATCACTGACCATCTACAGAAAACAACCGAACTGTCAAATTTTTAATTTAAAAGGAAAGACGGAAACTGAAGATGAAAAGTTATGAATTAGAAAATGGTTTATCATTGTTTCATACATGGCAGATCTTTAACAACTGAGATAGGTGTGTGTGTGTGTTGTTACTCTCGTCTGTGGCCCCCTCGAGGTCTCTCTCTCTCAGCAAAGATAATTGAATCAATCCTGTCTTTAAATGATAGCTTTACACCTCTCAGTCCGTGGGGTATTTTAAAAGTTTTACTTTTGTTTTTTTTTTATTCATCTTGTTTCTTTTTGTTCTGTAACCCAATATGTTCATGTTTTATTATATTTTAGAAATATGTCTAAGTTTATAATTTTGTGAGAAAAATCACTATTTCTTGTTTATCCAGTCAGTCTTTAATACAGCTGGCACAAAACAATTATTAAAATATTATGATGTGCTTCATTTTGCATATTGTATAAAATTTAGCTGTTCCTGCTGTGGAAAGACCCTTTTGATACAAGAGAAAACTCAAGGTTTTAAGAAAATGTCTGCTCATGATTAGTCAATCAATTAGATCGATCAACTTTAGATTAACTGAATTGATATCTTTCATCCCCAACAGAAACATTTGATCAATAAACAAAGATTAAATCTCCTGTGTAATTACAATAATGAATAATTTAACAGAAATGTTGCTGAAGAAAACTAGTTTATTCATTTATATGGTGCACTTAGTTATTTTGGTGTGCAGAAAAAAAACTATAATCTTTCTTGCAAACTAAATGATATGCTGTATTTCTGTTGTCTTTGTTTCATTTTATTAGACACATTTTATGGTTCAGGGAAAAAACTACTTTGTCTTCAGAGAGAAATGGGAAGGAACTAAAAATTGGAATCAGCAGAAAATGGGTGATCGGAAATCGGCAACAAAATCTCAGATTGGTGCATCTGTACTTATCACAGAAAAAGGCAGACCACGGGACATGTTACATTTAGTCTTTAATAATCCAGTACACAGCATGCCCTGCGAGCATTCATTGTCTAACTGTGGATATATGGAGAAATGACCTACTTCCAAGCTGTTACGCAACATCTGGCAGAAGATTCCTGGTGAAGGCTCAAGTGTTCAACTCCTCCACATTGCTAGGCCCACCACAATAACTCATATCCAGTCTTGTTTTCACTAAAAGAGGCTCTGGCATGCCACACCCCCAACTCTCTAGATAGTTCTTCTAACATGTAGCTTTCATTTTAATCACCACATTAGCCATCATTCTGAAAGCCAGTACGCCATTGAGAAATGCCATTTGCTAAATGAATGTAATGCCTATTTAAAGCATGTGTGAGGTTGTTTATGACTGCTGCCAGCTGCACACAAGATTCATAAGCAAAACTACAGTGGTGATATGGAAATTGAATTTGAGGGGGGAAAAACAGCATTGCACACACGGCTAGGAAATCAGCACCAAAAGGATGAAGAATCACAGAGCGAGTCCCTGTCCGGGTTGTTAGGGAGGGTAGATCTGAATATATTTCCCCTTTCTCCAATTATTCCATCTGATTAAACAGGCAGAGGTGCAGGTCTGACGCTGAACAATCAATGCTTGTTAGACGCCCCCTGGTGGCCAAGCGGGATATTGGGGAATATTCCACCCCTCTGACTGAGTGGAAATTTACCAGTGAAATCTTAACATTAATTGTGTTTATGTAGCAACGAGTGCAAACAGGACAGGCGCTTTATGCGTTTAAAAAACAGGCAAAGTTTACCAGACTGCAATTTTATATGAATAGCGGAACAATGAAAATAAGAGAAACACCCACGCGCGCCCACCCACCCCCATAGCATCGTTTTTTGTTGGTTTTTTTTGTACTGGAAATCAGCTTAGGAGATTTTAAGTTTATATACATTTTTTGGTCAGCAGTCAATTAGGAATAACCACGTGGTTTCCATTTCCAAAACCAAATTAATAGCAGAATACCACTGAATTAGGTACTAATGTACAAATAAAAATTCAACAACTGAAGAAATCCAAATCGGAAAGAACTGTCTGCACAATTTCCTTTTACAGAAAATCACATCAAACTAGCGCACCATCCCCCTCTGAAGGCCACGGTGTCTCATGTCCTTCTGTACAGAGCAGCGCCATGATGGATGGCTGCGAGGCGAGCCACAAGTCATTCAGTCCGCCACCGGAATCTGGGTCACGAACAGGGGGAGCCCCCTCAAAGTATCCGACGAGGCTGACTACAGCTTAGGATAGGGCCCGTGTTTTATTAAACCATCAGGAGGGTTTTATCGGAATCCGTCGCGAGTGGGTTGTTCGTGTTAAGCCATTGAAGCGGAAAGAGGCGGTTTGTGTGGCATTCCCGCGCCTCCTTAACATTCGCGCTATTTCCAGGAGTTTTCTTTGTTCCATCTCAATCAGCGATTATAGACGAACAATCACCACAAATCAATGGCTACGCGATAAAAAGACACTGGTTTAACGAATAATAACAGCCTAACCCCGAATGCATTTCACAAAGACAAATATTGTTCGTTCACACATAGGAGAGGAAACGGAGAAAAAGCCTTACCTGAGGCGTTTGACAACAAGCAAAATTAGGCATATTTAATGCGAACTCAGAGTTTCTTGGTTGGGTTTAGGGAAGAAACGCAGCGCCTCTACACTCAAAGCCTGTAGCGTGATTAAAACGTGTCTGTAGCTGCTGGACGAACACGGCCACTCTGTCCGAGCTGGAATGGCTGGCGAGGAGAAAGCGCGCACCCGAAAAAGGACCCGCGTAAGCGCCACGCGGCTTCCGACGTCATTAGTGGGCGGTGCTAGAAGCTTTGTAACGCCCCAGCTTTCTATGTAAAGTAGGCTGTTAAAACATATAATCTAACTTCATCTGGATGACGTTCAGAGATCAATCACTACATAAAATGGTTCATCTGCATATAAAGAATTGTTTTTGCATTCAAGATCAGGTCACAAGGGTAACAGGTCTAGGAAGGAAACCAAGACAGCCATTTTCCCAGTGACGCTCTCATACTCATTACAAGTTGTTCTCAAGTCACTGGAGAAATATAGTCCATCCGACAAGACCGTTGATTATTCCTGGAAAACATCCAAAGGGAGGTCCCCCTGTCCCATAATAAATTGCTCAGATCTCCCTAAACTGACCGTGTTTGATGAAGAGAAGCAGTGGTTCTACTCCACGCTCCTCATCCTATCTCCAAGGCTGAGCTGGGCCACCCTAAAGAGGGAGCTAGATTCATTATACAGAAATCTCCATGAAGGAAGACCAAATGTGCTGGTATATCTTGTGCGAGGGGAAGGCACGCACATTACCATCCAGTGAAATTGGTTATAGTTATTTTTAATACTTTAAATATAACAAAATACAACATCAGCAGACTACATATCTGGCCTCCCAGTTGTTTAAGAAGCAAATAGAACAAGATGATCCCTTTGTTGCTTTTTACATATTGCTAAGATTGATTAAAACAGACAGAAATGGATTTTTACATTTCTCTGTTTTACATTTAATGGCCAGAACTTGCTGGTGCACAAAATGATAATTTTATTTTTCTGCAATAAACAACAATAAATTATCATTCTCAAAATCTAAAATATAATGAGAAACAATAGGGGTTAAAGATATCACGGATGTGAGTTTTTTCTAACAGGAATTCACTTAAGGAAATTCAAGGTTGGTTCCAGATTGGAAGAATGCACCTGTTATAATCTGAGGCTGAAAGCAAATTACAAATAAATGGGGAAAGTGAACTAATGGGTCTGAGCAAGACAACTAGCTTTCTGAATAAACGATGCATTAATTTTGATAAAAAAAATTATCTCTGGATATCCAATTCAGTTTCAGGTGTCATTAAATGTTAAATTTACCTGCCATAAAAATGGGGGAGATCTGCAGTGGTTCGACCGACGTGGACCATTTACGAAAGGACACAAGTTCCCTGCCCAACATGTTTAAGATCATTTTTTTGGCATTAATAACCTTTATTGTACAGTAATCAGACAGGAAGTAAGGTAGAGAGAGAAGGGGAAGACATGCAGCAAATGGCCCGTAACCGGGAATCGAACCCAGGACATCTGCGTCGAGGACTACAGCCTCAGCATATGCTATCCCAACTGAACTAGCAGCGCCCCCTATGCCCAAAATTTGAATGTGTACTGTAACTGAACAAAATACGTTCAAGGTAAAGCATAAAAAAACTCAATAGAGTTTAAATTATATAAAAATTATTACTCATCACACTACACAGTAATCACAAGACACCACCAAGATAAAGCCTGTCTTGGAGCAAAACAAGCACGATGAACCAAAAAAAAAAAACAACAACTTTAAAACGACTAAAAACATAATCAAAAATAAGCAGAAAGTAAAATGAAATGAAACAAATTGGAAATAACAAAATCAAAGAAAGTAAAATCAATTTAAACGTCTTGTCACATTTTGTCCAAATAATGACTGGTCCGATGAGACATAGTAGTTTACTGCAGAATCCAAGGTAGACAAGTTAAATGTAAATTAAATGAAAGTTCCACTTTTGCTTCATTCCTAGTGCTTTACTCACCACTTGCCTTATGTTCTAGCTCTGACTCATGACAACTAACCGAACAATCACCACTGCATAGATTATTTAATGTCCATTAAGGAGGAACATCCGGGCCAGATCTTCCCTGCTGCTGCACACACATCACTGGACTCATTCATGTGCCTTGACTGAAAAGAGCTTAGTGCTACCTTAGTGCGTCATTAATTAGATAAGACAGCAAGGACTCCTGTTATAACAGAGGTGTCAGTCAGGTCTTTACATGGAATTGTGATTCTGCACACCTATGTGTCAGTGACATGAATACAAAAATTTTTCATTATTTTTGTTTCATAAACTTTGGTGCAAGTTTTTCAAACACAACACTATGTGTTTCCATCCATGAGGCAACAATGATGAATGACTAGGTGCCAAGTATGAACTGCATCAAATTTAACCTCTTAAGAACTTTAAGAGGAGGCCGCTCCAGGTTCAAACATTTCAGAGGGCAGATAACTACAGGTCCTTCTCAAAATATTAGCATATTGTGATAAAGTTCATTATTTTCCATAATGTCATGATGAAAATTTAACATTCATATATTTTAGATTCATTGCACACTAACTGAAATATTTCAGGT